ATGATCTATTGGCGGTTGTGGCCGAAGCACAAGACCCCGACCCAGGGGATCCTTTCCCGGTATGAGAGCTCAGGGGGGCGGGTTCAGAGCTTGAATAAACTTGCCCGGGATTAGTCCTCCCTCCCCCCCCCCCCCTGAGGAGATGGAGGTACTTAGGCTAGCTCTCGTCCAGCACTCTCAGCCACACATCGCCAACCATTCCCCCCCATCTACCCCTCATTTCCGTCGCGACGCGCAACCCTCGGTTTTTTCGATACGATCAGTTTTTGTAGGCCATCGACGCTTTTTTCATCTAAAAACAATGGTTGAAGATATTGTTACACGAGCAACCAGGAAGATGAAGAACCTCGGAAGTATTCAAGGTAGTAACGTGGGGCAGCAGCAAAACAAGACTAGCCCGGGATCACATACGATCGGTAAACAATCGACGCAAGACACCGGGACAGCAAATACACAATCGCAAGAAATCGTATCATTAACGGAGGTCGTACCCGCTCAGAAGGCAGCGACCGCTCACGGAGCAGCTACGAGGGAAGATGCTGAGGAAAGAGAACACTTAAGTAGTTAGTGTTCCTCGCGCATTAAGCTACCCGAGTCGTGGGTATTAGCTAAGACCTATTTTACTTACATTTCCATAGTTGAGGGAACGGGAGGTACATCGATGGCACCAGATAAAGAAGATGACGTGGTCGCAGGTCGTTTAACGAATGGTAAGCGGCGACAAGGATTCATTATAAAAAAAAAAAAAAAATCATGATCTAATTTGGTGATCATCGATGTAACAGAAACACAACGAGAAACATATAGGAATCTCCTGGCAGAGGACGACGGACCAGGTCCCCTCCTCGTGGTGAACAAAGCACCTCCCATCGGCCCTATCATCGCAAAGGCTAAGACAGACCGCGAAAGATTGTGGGATCAAGTATGTCAAGCCAAAGAGGCGAAGGACGAAGCAAATGCCGACTTCCTCTTAAGGATTTACTTAGCACTGCCGAAAGAATCAGATACGCTGGCAGTCCCACCAGCACAGCTGTCGAGCTTAAGGTCTTCGTCATCTGACGCCGCATTACTGACTCAGAACGCCAGATCGGTTGATAAAACAGTAAATTTCATCAGGGGATCGGTGCCGAATCACTCCGATATAGGGTTCACCCCTTTCTTCGACAAGAATATCCGCGAGTTCAGGGGTCCTCTACCACTTACCATCTTTGACAAAGAATGGCAAGAAGATGCCGTTACTTTCCACTCAGGCAAGCGATCCAAGACAGACGAGAAAGATGGTGTATATACCGGATACGAATATCCAAATGAATGGTCTCAATCGTTCAGCGCTTGGACGAACAACTTTAGAAGTTTTTTGATTACCTACAGAGATATATATAAAATCCCAGAATTCGCTCAATGGATCGTTGAACACAAGGCCAACGTCGACGAGATAATATCAACAGATGGCTTCCTGACTGGCTTCAGGTACGACATGATTGTCCGAGCGAACGCTTTCGCTTATAGGGTAGAAACCGCAAGTGGTTCTTCGGTGGTGGATATATCGGTGATGAGAAAAGAAATCAGAGAAAAAGCTTGGGCGACAACTAGGAAACTAGAAGAACTCGACTTTACCAATAACCCTTATGCGAAAGGAGGCGAAAAGTTCGGGTTCGACTCGAAGACCGGTAAACCAAAACTCAGCAAGAATCACAAATCAAGCTCAGACGTTAACTTCAATTCTCATAACTCAGGTGATAAAGGTAACTATAGGGGAGGGAATGCGATGAGGGGAAGAAGTAACTTCAGGAACCGATCCTTCGGCGGCGGAGGGTACGGTTACGAACACACGTACGATAACGGGCGCGATGATCTTAGCAACGGAGATTATAGGGGCTGGTTCCAAAGAAAACACGACGAACATGGTTCAGGAGGAACATCGAGTGGTTACAGCAATTTTAATCAAAGAGAAGAAAGAAGCCGAGCTAAACCAACTTCTAATTTCGCTAAAGGAGGGGGGAGCTTCAGAGAGAGGAGCAGTGGAAAGAAAGACCCAAGCACTAAAGACTTGTAGGCTACCACTCTGAACAAGACACATATTTCTTAATCACATTTTGTTGTACTTGAAATGAATTTTTTAGATCACTTTTGTTGACTGTTTTCATGACTTCGAATTGTTTTGTCTGGTTTTCTTTTTCCTTTTTTGATGTTCTAGAATTACACTTGGTCGAAAGCAATCAAATGACACATTCTCCTTGCCAAAATCTGTGATATGCAACCTACCAGTTAATATCATTTGTGAGATGAACATCGAGGTATGGAGAGACCTTCTAAGTAAATGTAACTTGCTACCAGAATACGAAGACGTGTTAAGCGGTTTTGATCGTGGATTTGATCAAGGCATTCCTGCACATAGGATTGAAGGACTTGATTGGTACACGCCGGAGAATCATCGGTCTTCAGAGCTGGCAAAAGAGAAGATACAAGAATCGATGAAAAAAGAGCTGAAAGCAGGACGTATGTTGGGTCCTTTCTCACATGCACAAATGAAGTCGGCTTTCGGTTTCTTCCGTTCAAATCCTCTAGGAGCTGTGGTGAACGGTGACGGCGAAATAAGGCCGATAAACGACTTATCTTACCCAAGGAATGATGAATTTGTGAAATCGGTAAACTCTTACGTCAAGAAGGAAGAATTTGAGACGACCTGGGATGATTTCAAGATAGTATCAAAGTTTTTGTCGGACGACAAGCGTAGATTTGAACTAGGACTATTCGATTGGGAGAAAGCTTACCGACAGATACCTACAAGAAGAGAACAGTGGCGTTACCTGTTAGTGAAAGATTTCGACGACAATCTGCTGGTCGACACTAGGATTACATTTGGTGGAGTCGCAGGGTGTGGTTCCTTTGGAAGGCCTGCAGACGCTTGGAAGCTGATAATGAAGAACCAATTTAAACTAGTTAACGTCTTCCGCTGGGTGGACGATAACCTTTTTGTTCGGGAAGAAAATGCAACGGTATCGATGAAGGAAGTGGTGGATAAGTCAGATGAAATGGGCGTCAAGACAAACGTTAAGAAATACTCAGAATTCAGTTGCGAGCAAAAATTTATTGGCTTTGTGTGGAATGGTTTGGATAAAACCGTTAGACTACCAGAAGGAAAGATAGAACAACGATTAACTCAGATACACCCATTCATGGTACCGGGAGCTTCTTTTGATTATGAACAGGCGGAAGTCCTCGTAGGAAGATTGAATCACGTCTCATACATCTTACCTCACCTACGTTGCAATTTGTGTTCGATTTATCGATGGCTTAAGTCCTGGTTCTTTCGCAAAGCCAAACGACCAACTCCTGAGGACGTCTTGGTCGACTTGGCCGTTTGGGTTGAGACTCTTACGAATTTCGAACATACTCGGCTAATTCGCTGGGGCCCACCCTTAGATGTAGGCTGGGTGGGAGACGCTTCTACTTCCTTTGGGATAGGAATCCTGGTAGGGAAGCATTGGGCGCAATTCAGACTATTAGACCCTCAGGGAGATCCTAGACGAATTTCCTTCTTGGAAACGGTTGCTATTCGCCTTGGCCTCATTATGCTACTGAAGCTACGCAATCAAAAAGGGAAATCTCTTATCGTCTGGACTGATAACACGACAACTGAGAACGGCATCAACAACAAGAAGACTAAGGACAAAGACGCTAACAATGAATGGATGAAAATACAGCGCATCCTGGTCGAAGAGTCTGTTGACTTGGTGGCACGGAGGGTCAAATCTAAAGACAATAAAGCGGATGCGTTGTCTAGGGGATTGAGATCAGGGCAGCTTGTAAAGCACCAAGTGGTGATCAAGCTACCAGAAGACCTTGGGGGCCTACTTGAGCAAGTTGTGTTTAAAATTTGAATTATTGAATTGTTTTTGTTTCTGTTATCATACTCGCAATTCCACTCGTCTCTCCCACCTACGTCTTCTCTCCGATTTTTACACACATGCCTTGTATCAAGCAACTCGATTCACTCTCGTCAATTATAGACTTTACATCAAATGGCTTGGTACTAAAGACTCCAACCGCTTTAGATAGACACATGTTGAATGGTTGGTCGCCATCTACCTTGCAAAGCTACAATTCGGCCGTGAGGAAATTTTTGCAGTTTAAAAGGTCCTGTGGTCATTATGACTTTCAACTGCCAGCGACTGAAGACGACATTTACGGGTTCTGTTTTTGGGCGGGTAAAAAGGACAAAGACACCTCAGGAAGTGGGGTACTCACGGTGACACTCAAGAAATATCTGCAAGGGTTGAAGGCTTGGCACCTTTTCCACAACGCACCTTACCCGGCAGCCTCAGCGGCAAAAGTAGCGGTGCTCCTTAAAGCATCGGCTAAAGTCGACGTGAAGCAACCCAAAACACCTCAGAAACGGCCGGTCATGATTCATCATCTGGTAATCCTAGCCAACGAACTATCGGGCGGGGACGAGGCCGACCTCGCAATTCTAGATTTGGCGCTCGTAACTTTCTGGAGCTTAGCTAGACTAGGCGAAGTAACGCGGGACCCAAAGAAAGGCAATACCCAAGGCATACTCCCTGGCGATGTGAAGATCAATAACGACTATGGGTCGGCCACCATAGAACTAAAGGAATCTAAGACGGCACGCCCTGGCGAATCACAATTCTTGAGATTGAGGAGCATGCCGAACCTCCTTTGTCCCATCAAAGCCTTGCAGCGTAGGCTCGCGGCTGCGGACAAGGGCGAACAACTGTTCAGCTTTGTAGTGAAGGGCAATAGGACAGACCTCACAAAGTACTTGGTTCGCAAGCGACTAGCAGAGGTTTGGGGAGGCTGTGGATTCCACGGACTCTCAGGTCACTCTTTCCGGGTAGGAGGAGCGTCATTCCTTAAGGCGTTGGGGGTCTCCACGGCGCGCATTTGCGAAATCGGCTGATGGGCCTCGACTAGCTACAAGTTGTATATTAGAGAATACTCAGCTCCAGATTTAACACACACCCTGGATTTGTTAGCAGAGTTGGATATGCAATGGAGCTCTGCCGCAATTTGATTCCAGCAGCGTAAGAGGGAACTCGGGACAAAGTGTTGGGTGTTCGCGCAAGGCTCAGGCTTTGACCCTGAGTTTTAGGGTTTAGCGCGTACCCCAACTCTTTTCCTCTCTGTTCCAGGAAGAAGTCCTTCCTTCTACTGTGTTTAGGCCGGCTTAGGGGTTTCCTCCTACTTGGAGGAATATTTCCCTAGCCAGAGGGCCTAAACCTACAGAAGAAAGCTCTCTCCCGAGACCCTCACGCGCCTATCCTGAAAACCCCTGCAATGTCAGGGGGACCAGGATGGCTACGGGTGTTTTGGAAAGGGAAAACCCTGTGAAACACCCGGAACCCGTGCAGAGACGGAAAAAGTGTAGATGGATTGGATTGGTGGCTACATGAGCAGTAGCGGTTGTGGCCGAAGTCCAAGAACACGAGCCATTGGAGCCTTGCCTGGGCTGAGAGGTCAGGGCGGCGGTGTCAGAGCTTGAATAAGCATGACAGGGCTCAGACCTCCATCCCCCCCCTCCCCTGAGGGGATGGAGGTACTTAGGCTAGCTCTCGTCCAGCACTCTCAGCCACACATCGCCAACCATTCCCCCCCATCTACCCCTCATTTCCGTCGCGACGCGCAACCCTCGGTTTTTTCGATACCAACCCACCCACCCTGGGGTTTAGCGCGTACCCCAACTCTTTTCCTCTCTGTTCCAGGAAGAAGTCCTTCCTTCTACTGTGTTTAGGCCGGCTTAGGGGTTTCCTCCTACTTGGAGGAATATTTCCCTAGCCAGAGGGCCTAAACCTACAGAAGAAAGCTCTCTCCCGAGACCCTCACGCGCCTATCCTGAAAACCCCTGCAATGTCAGGGGGACCAGGATGGCTACGGGTGTTTTGGAAAGGGAAAACCCTGTGAAACACCCGGAACCCGTGCAGAGACGGAAAAAGTGTAGATGGA